ACTCTGTAAAGCTAACACTCTACTCTGTAAAGCTAACACTCTACTCTGTAAAGCTAACACTCTACTCTGTAAAGCTAACACTCTATTCTATAAAGCTAACACACAACTCTGTAAAGCTAACACTCTACTCTGTAAAGCTAACACTCTATTCTATAAAGCTAACACTCTATTCTATAAAGCTAACACTCTACTCTGTAAAGCTAACACTCTACTTTGTAAAGCTAAAACTCTACTTTGTAAAGCTAAAACTCTACTCTGTAAAGCTAACACACAACTCTGTAAAGCTAACACTCTATTCTGTAAAGCTAACACTCTATTCTATAAAGTTAACACTCTATTCTATAAAGTTAACACTCTACTCTGTAAAGCTAACACTCTACTCTGTAAAGCTAACACTCTACTTTGTAAAGCTAACACTCTACTCTGTAAAGCTAACACTCTACTCTGTAACTACATCACTTCTCTGTAAAGCTAACACTCTACTCTGTAACTACATCACTTCTCTGTAAAGCTAACATACTATTCTGTAACTACATCACTTCTCTGTAAAGCTAACACACTACTCTGTAAAGCTAACTCTCTATTCTGTAAAGCTAACACTCTACTCTGTAAAGCTAACACTCTACTTTGTAAAGCTAACACTCTACTTTGTAAAGCTAACACAGGTACTCTGTTTGTTTGTTATGGATTTCGTGCAAAGTGAATGTTTTTTTTATATGTATTTAACGAGTACTCGTGCCAATGCAGCAGTCAGTTACCAAACAATGATTTATTAACACCATGATATTTATTGTTGAGATACTGTCAACATATTTGGTATGTTATCATTGTTTGTTAATTTACTGCTACTGGGTTACCATTACAAAAAGGATTTTTAAACATTATTTCTTGTGTTACTGTACTGAAAAAAATACAACTTATATGTTTAAAGTTGTTAAATCAATTGGTCACTAATAAAGAGCCACTCATACAGTACAACAGGTGTTTTATTTAAACATAAATTGAAAGAACATTAAAATTTTATAAAATTACAAAGCTTTATGAACCTTAGTAAATCCTTTTATTTTCATTAAATGTTGAAGATAAAAGATGCCAATATATCAGTCACTTCTGTTAATCTGTGAGATATAAGTAATGATAAAGTAAAAAAAATGTATCAAGAAGTTTTATATTCTGATATTTCTAGTAGATTTTTAAGATATTTTCACATAACAGTTAATATCAATATTCTGAAAATTACAAAAACATTTGGTTGAAAAAACACAACTTTAAGGCCAAGAGAATTAGTGGTGTTTACTGTTACATACCATTGATAACTAGCCCCTACTATTCAATACCAAACATTAGTAACTGTCCCTTTTCTTTTCCTACATTAATGTACAGAAACTGACCTGTGCATTATTTACAACAAGTCGAGCCAGGAAGAGCTTTACATTCTTGTGCACTTCAGAGTTATTTAGCTTATCGCATAAACCTTCCAGAAATTTGGGAACAGGAGTGATACTTTTCTAGGAAGAAATATAAAGGAAATACATAAGCTAACACTGAAAATTTACATGGAACATTAATAAAAACAGAAGAATGTGGGCAACATTTTTGTTCCAATGTAAACATTATTATAGTTTGAGCACCAATTATACTTAAGTCTCTTAACAAAAACTTATAAATAACAGTGAATCATCAAATATTCTGTCATTATTCTAAGTCCTAATAATGCAATGGAGCCAAAATAATGTACTGTCTAGGAATGAAAGTGAAATAAATATGTAGACTTCACATTTTATAGAACACATAAAACAGCCAAACATACATACTAAATTACTATAAACTAGCATAGGTACCTGGCAAAGCAAGGCTTAAAAAGTAATGTGATAAAATGAGGGGCATGGGCCACCTTTTCCATTATTTTGAGCTGTAACACATGAACCATCTTTCTGATGCAGATATATCCATACAACGTGCAGCATTAAACATAACTTTTGTTTAGTGTCCACTTCAGATATTTTGCTACCAACTTCCTTATTCCATTGAGCCCTCACTCTTATCATTAAGGCAGTAAAATCGATATTACTGTCAGATTTGAACCATTCATCTGATTGTTTAACTATTTCAACTTGATTCTGGGGGGGTTCCTGAGTTCATATAACAAATTTCTTCAATTTCAGCTTGTTTCTCACAACACTTTATAACATCAAACAGACAGACAACTCTGTTTTATATATAAATATAGCAAATTCTATTACATGGATTCTGCTCAACATATGATTCAACAGATTGCTGAACATTACAAGGTCTGTACACCAAAAATCCAAAGTTGGGTTAAGGGAAAGAAAATGCGAGTAGTTCGAGTAATTCACCTTTTAACAAATTAAACCTAATTTATAATGTCTCTCTTCAGAATTATTATTGGTAGTTTCAAAAAATAACCACAATTAAAATTACCCAAAGAAGGCATTTCATGATAGCTTGATTTTATACTTTTTTCTCTATGGAAAATTTATGGTTACATAAACAGCAAAGAAAAAAAATCATCTCATACGAATCATGTTACGGATCATTATTAAACTACGTTTATTAAGTATAAAAATAAAAGAAGGTGTCTGTGTACTTGTGCTATAGCAACATGTGTTTTGATATCCAAAATCAGTGTGACAAATACTTAAGTGTTCTAGTAACAAGTGTCCAGACACTTGACTTCTAGCTACCATGAGGTTATTGTCACCATGTTACCTGATCAGTAGCAGCAATAATTCCTTTCTGTTGCATAGTTTGAAGAAGTGCTGTCAGAGAAGCCATACATTCATGTCTATTCAGATCATCATTTTCCAGTTCTATATAATCATTCACCATGATGACCTGTCTTTCCTGAAAACACAAAAATTTGATTTCTAAACATTTTTTGTAAAATTCACATAAGAAAATTTTTACTCATCATTTTCTATCTTATGTTACTTGTAGCCCATTTTAGTTTCCACACTATTTTGGATTTATTTTTTAATCACCCCTTTAGCCCTCCTTCTCATTAATTCTTATGTTTCAAAAAGTTTCTTTGCCCACCCTATTCCTGATTTTTGTTCACCAGAGACTAATCCCAGCTGGAACAATCACAATAAAAGCTAATCTATAAATTTGCTTTGATGTTTTTGTGTCGAGCTGCTACAAATACCCAAGATGAAAAACACTCACTTTTACACTTCATTTCATTCCACATTTATCTAATTTCTGAAACTACTCACATTACAGTTTCTTATTTTATGATTCCTCAAAGTCTTCATTCTACATGATTTCTAATGCATCTACAAGATAACTGCTAACCTACTGGAAATAATTCATTTATAAATGTACTTAAAACATGTTTTCTCTTATAACATGAGTAAAAGAAGAAGATGCAAAAAAAAATATTAAAACCATGCACAATCTCTTTCAACCCCCCTGTTTTGGAAGACCTTATAAACTGTACTATCATATAAGTATGAAGACTGACCTGAGTTCAGTGTCGAATCCAGACCTTTCAACCAGGGAGGAGAATGAATTCAAATTCAAATTTGACAAAATGGAAAATACTGTATTTCAAAGGGGAATTTTTTGCACAGGGGAAGTTTCTCCTGAACACCCTCTGAATTCAACACTACCTGAGACTATTGTGCTGAAGTGTAATGTTCAATCTTAATCTTCCACAAAGGTTTCTATAATAGCATGCTAAAAACAGCAGTTTTTACTAATTATTCTTTTGCTACACTTTTTACCTGTTCCAACATTTTCATAATACGTTCTAATGTTTAATTCTCAACATAATTAACATATGCCCCCCTCTCTCTTAAGATTCATTTGTTTCAGAACTTTATGCACAGCTAAACATTGGCTATCTGCACTAACCCTAACTAATGTTTAGCTGATACATTACAGGAAAGCAGCCAGTCAACAACATCCACTGCTAGATTTTGGGCTGTTCTTTTTTGTTTAAGAGCAGGAGTTGACAGTCAAACGTATTATGTATATATGGCTCGAAAGTGATGAGTGCATTTTAGGGGCAAAAAGTACCAAATCGTGAATCTTCACAATCTGGGCATATTACCTGCTCAACCCCTCTCGCTCTCTTAAAAAAAATTAAATTGTAAACTTTTGCAACATTTCTACATTAACAATGAATTAAAACATAAATTAATTAAGTTTAAACATCT